AACATTTTCACAACCACAGTTTTTCTCATATTCCTAAAATAGCAATTTACCAGAGAGAAAGGTAGAGTTTGATTCAATAGTAAACCTCAATTTAAATCTTTGGTCTGACTTGGTAACCACATTAGTAAGCTGTTTAGGACTTAACTTTGATTATCTTCAGGTTATAGAGGGAAGATAAAGACAAAGTCTTCAAATTTGTACCTTGTTTTCCATTTAAGGGGAAAGAAAGGTTTTTAGGATGTTCAGTCCTGCATTTCTGCATTTTGGAAATAACTTGATATTTTAGCATGCTCCTAAACAAAAAACTATACATATTTTTCTCTTAGATTCCCCTAAATGGAAAACAACCTCAAGTCAACATAGAAATAGGAAATACTATTTTGCTAGAGATGGGTCACCTGAAATACAAGAAAAATAAGGAAAGGGAATTTATCTGAAATCTTTCCAGAGAAAAGGTAGTTAACAATATCCAGGAACTGTAATCCAGTGTTTAGTTTATAATACCTACAACTATCAAGAAGCATAGTCATGTATTTCAGTAGGAAAGACTTGCTAGGAGTAGTACCAAGTAGTACTATATTTGCCTCCAGGCATTGGTGCTCTAAATTAGATAAAAGTTATACTCTCTAAGGATTTTAATAATTAGAATTCACAGGTTAGGTAATCTGTGCATTTACTGGGAAAAGAAAATTGAGAAGAACAGAAAAAATCCATACCATATACTGCACAGATTTTGAGTGGAAATGGCTTGTTATTATCAAGGCACTTCATGTCTCCTTTGGTTAAAAATCTCATTCACTTAACGTTATGAGTTCACATTTTTCTGTTTCACTATACTTTTTTTTTCCCCAAATTTCTTGCTTCAATGTCTGTATCTCTAGGATCCTTTTTAATCCATCAGAAACCTGTATGGATATCCACGTTGTTTAAATCTAAAGAGAGAGAGCAGCCAGCTGAAGAATATTACAACTAGACATATACCTGTCATACACATCATCTTCCTCTTTACAATGTTCATTCTGGATGTGGCAGCTTTATCTAACACCACCATTCCCAGGGAAATGCACATATTAAACAGAGCAACGATACATGTTTCTGCTACAAATTGAGAGTAATTCATTCTGTGGATATAATGTATATGTCCTGTGTGAGGATTCATTTGAGCATATGGTGCTCCTTTTATATGAGTCCACATTTGACCAGATGTCATCACAGTCACAAAAGACAGACCTAAAACTGCCCACAAAGTTTTGTTAGAAATAAACTCCCTCTTCTTTTTAAGTAAACACACAAGTCCACCACTGAGCACCAAAATTGTCCCAAACATGAAGAGAACACCAACATTTGTAGGCTGTCTGATTCTGATGCTGACGTTCGTTCTCTCAGCTACCCATTTAGCCATTTGCTCAGCTGTGATACCCCTTCCTTCCAAATGATAAATATCATCTGATGTAAATTTCCTTTTAACAGAAAAGTGGAGGACATTTGGAACTGACACCACTTGAATCATTCGAAAGACTTCAGGGCTTTGATCATAATCCACCATAGCAAAAAATATCTTGTTGGTGAATGTACTGGACTGTTGCCAGGAATTTGCCAAGATCTGAAATTCTTCAGCAGCACGTTTGCACATTATACACTGTCTTAACTCATGGAGAGCAGTAAACATCACAATCATAGAGTAGTTTCTTGGTGGTTCTAGTACAAAATGATAGAACGTGGTGTCACTCATTCTTATCACTCTGTTTTTCTTGGTCCAGTCCATCAGCTGGCTGACCTTTTCTGCCAACACCATCTTCCCTCGCGCAGGATCTGAGGGAATCCCATGAGCCACAAGCAGCAGGGCCACCACTATAGTCAGAGGTATATGCCAAAGCGACCACATCTCTGCCATATTTGTTTACTTCTTTCTGTTATAAAATTTGTTTTAAACATATAAACCAAAATGTGATCATTTCTTACAGCAATTGATTGATCCAAGACCTTTTTATCTGTCTTTCTTGAATCCTGGTAAACATATTAGCAGCTATATCACAAGCTCTTGTGGTTATGTCTGGATCGTGAACCATGTACGCAAAAAATACCAAACCAAACCAGTTGCCATGGAGCCGATTCTGATTCATGGTGACTTCATCTGTGTCAGAATAGAACTGTGCTCCACAGGGTTTTCAATGGCTGACTTTTCAGAAGTAGATTGCCAGGACTTTCTTCCAAGGTGCCTCTGGATGGATTTGAACTGCCAATCTTTTGTTAGTAGCCAAGCATGTAACTGTGCTACTTAGGGACTAAACCATATTTAGACTTTATAAAATATTCTGTGGGAAGAAAATGTTCTTGGATCAAGGATGTTTGAGAAACAGTGTTCTAGCTTCAGTCTTTTGGCTGAGCTGCAGACTAGCATTTCTTCCTGCTGTATGGCACCTGCATCTACCACAAGCACCTCAAATGTTTCAAAAGCCACCAACCTCACCCTCCCCTTGCCCACCAAGCGTTTGGTTCTGTTCCTTTCTTCCCTCTGTTAAGGATAATACCATCCTACCAATCCCTGAGGTTTTAAAACTGAGGGACTCTTTTTGGACTCCTCTTTTTCCCTCATCCATCAAACTTGAGTTTGGCCTCTGGGGCCAGACTACCTGAGTTTGGATCCACGCTCTACCATTTGTTAGTTATGTGACCTGGGGCACGTTCCTCACTGTTGTGTGCCTCAGTTTCCTCTGCTGTAAAATGAGAATAGTTAATGGAACCCACGTCATGGGATGGTTGTGCAAAGCCCTCAGGACAGGACCAGGCCCACGTGTTGGGAATGGCATCCCTGTCTTCCTCTCTATTTCTTGCGCCACCACTAAGGCATTATGGAGTGGGACTAGGGAGAATGCGGACGGACGTGGGGATCAGACACACCTGGATTCCTATCCTCGTTTTTTAGCAGTGTAACCTTTTGTTATCTGATAAATAGGGATAATGCCTACCTCGCCTATTAGTTATGAGAATTAAATGTTAACATATTTACAGTACCTAGTACTATAGGGTCGCTATGAGTCGGAATCGACTCGACGGCAACGGGTTTGGTTTTGGTAGAACAGTATTGGCCGATAAGGCACGGTTGAATTTTTTCTCCTTTTTTAAAGAAATAGGTGAATTTTGAGCATTGTTTCTAATACCCCAGTGATCTCTCCCAGGCTTGTATCCTCTACACACACGATTATGGTTCCTTCTGTGCCTTCAAGCAGATGGATTAAATTGTCAAATACAGGGTCAAAGGAGTATGTGTAAATAATATTAAATACATATACATTTCTTGAGGGATACCATCCGGGGAGTGAAGCCTGACCGGGAAATTTTTATCTTTTCTATGTGCTCTGGTATTTTTTTATCATGTCGAGGCACGACTTTTGCCAACATAAAAATGTTTAATGCTTAAATAAAATGAATGTGCTACAATTATTCCTTCCTCCTCACGTCCCCTCCTGCAGTCCCAGCCCCCCACCCACCCCGGCTCGCCGCAGCCGCGGGGCAGCCGCCACTTTCCCGCCCTGAAGGGCCTCCTGCCCCCCGCCCGCGCCGTCGCTGCCCGCGGTCGTCGGGCTAAACACCGCGGCTGCTGGTTAGCACGCTGGGAGAGGGGCGGTCGCCTAGCAACTGGAAGTGCTTAACAGCAGAGGAGCCTCGCCCGGGGAGGCCGAAGTGCAAGCTGGGAAAGGAGGTAAGAGGACAACGGGAGCGGGAACCGCGGGGGGCTCACACTGAGGTCGAGCTCCCTCGCTCCCTCGCTCCCTCGCTCCCTCCGCCTTTCTCTGAGCCAGGCTTGGGTGTTAATTCAAACCAAAAATGATTATCCTGGGGAGGGGCGGGTTCGGCTTGGCTCCTCCCACTGGGGGGGCCCTCAACACACCCGCTCCTCCTCCCCCAAGAGAGGGCGGAGGGAGTGTGACGGTCAGATGGGGAGGAGGGCAGCTGCACCCCGTTCTTAGTGCCAACACTTATCCTCCCTGCAAAACTAGCCTGTCCTTTGCCTGGATGGAGTACAGGGCTCCTTCTCTTCTTAGATCCCGACAGGTCCTGCCCAGAGTTGGGGGGGTGGGTAGGGTGGAGCAGCTCAAAAAGACTCAGTTGCTGGCAGTAGGGGTGGAAACTGGATTTAGGGCCATTTTTCTTGTCAACCTAACCTAAAAGCAACTCCCCCACCGGGTACTAGACACCCCCCACCCCGGAAGACTCCATTGTCCCCTTTCACCTATTCCAAGACCTACAGTGGGTGGATGGGTGAAAGGAAACCTAGTTAATGCCTCGTAGAAAGTTGAGTAAATGAAGGGCTGCTCCCAAGAAGGCTTCCTGCAGGAAGGTGGTTTTAGAGAAAAATGGACAAGAGCACTTCCTTTAGAGGGGGATGTTTTATCTACAAGAAGTTCTCCTGAACTGGAAGGGACCCCACAGCAGAGCCAGATGTGAGGGCAGAAACCTGTTGCTAGGAATGCAGCTAAAAGAGCTGAACAAACCTGCTATGCTGGCTATGAGCAAGTCAGTTAGCAGTGGAGAGGCTGATGGCAGGGAGGCTGAGGGCAGAGAGGCCTAAACGGCTGAGAGAGGGAGTGCAGGGCCAAGAAGCATGTCCTGAGGGGGTCAAGAGAAGGCCTGTCCTGGGAGGGCCCATAGGAAGCTTGTCCTGAGTGAGCTGAGAGGAGGCCATGTAAGGCGGAGAGGGGCTGTACCTGGCAGAAAGAAAGGACTGCTTGCTTATACAACTGAGAGGAGCTCAGAGAGGTGTCTTATACTGTATAAAGGAAGGATGTGCTTTCCACTTCAAGAGAGTCTTCCAGACTTGCCTATATGCTTTCTGATCCTGATCTTGACTTATAGCCTATTGATCCTGGTCATAAATTGTACCCTGTTACTTCCTTAATAAACCACTCAACTGTAAAAAAAAAAAAAAAAAAAAAGAAGTTCTCCTGAATGGTCTTCTGAAGCCTTGTTTTTCCTCTCTCCAGCAGAAAGTGGGTGTTTTGAAACAGGCCTAGGGGTTTCTGACCCTTCTGGCCCCTGCACCATGACCACAGTTAGTGTCAAGCCGAGTCAGCGCTTCCAGCTGGCTGACTGGTACACCAATAGCTACCTGTTGTCCACCAATGCTGAGAGGCAGCGAGATGCTTCCCATCAGATCCGCCAGGAGGCCCGTGTCCTCCGCAACGAGACCAACAACCAGGTTGGGGGCCAGAGCCTAGTTGGGTGAGCCAAGGGATAGACCCCAGCAACTGACACCCTCCTGATCTGACTCTGTCTCTTCCAGACCATTTGGGATGAACATGACAATAGGACTCGACTTACAGAGAGGATTGATACTGTCAACCAGTGGAAGGAGATGCTGGACAAGTGTCTAACGGATTTAGATGCTGAGATTGATGCCCTGACACAGGCAGGGAGCTAGGGCTGGGTGCCAGGAGACATCGCTTCGAGGACCCCCACTCACTTCCCCCTTCTGGGTTAAAGAACCTTTGATGGGGGTAATTGGTGGCATGTCCATCTGAGTCACTCACTGGCCCCTCTGCTAAAGTAGAGATGGATGCCATTTCCCAATGCCTGGCTCCACGAGATTCCCTGTGCCCTCTCTTTTCTAGATGAAGGAGTCAGCAGAGCAAAATCTGCAGGCCAAGAACTTGCCTCTGGATGTGGCAATTGAGTGCCTGACCCTGCGGGACAGTCGACGAGACATTGATGTGGTGAATGACACTGTGGAGGATGAGCTGCACAAAGAGGTGGAGGTCATTGATGCCACCAAGAAGGCCTTGCAACAGAAGATTGATCAGGCCTTCGAGCAGCTCTGGTAGGGGAGAGATGTGACATTCGAATGTTCACATGCACTTGGAGGTCGTGTGTCTTGAATGTGGAACATAGAGTAACTGGCTCTTAAATGCTAGCTTTTGCCCTTCCTGCACCCATGGCAGACATCACTAATTGATCATAGCATCATTTCCACTGCCTGGACATGGTCTCAGAATACTTCTCACAACCTTGCTCTAGGCAGCCATCATGAACTGATTGGAAGCAGTATGAGAGATGAAGCCCATTTGCCACTACCCCTGAGTACCTTATTGTGTGTGTGTGCCTTTGTGAATGTAGCTACATACGTGTGCCCCTGTGGGTATGTGCAAACACTTGGGTGTCTTATTTTGTCATGTGGAGCTCATCCAGCTGTGCGGGTCTTTGTCTCAGTAAAGCAGCAGCTTCATTGTCTTCTGCTGGGAAGCAACATCCCAGATTCCCCATCACTCAGTGTCCCTTCAGTACAATAGGGTCTGCACCCTGGGGCCTTGGGGGATGGTTTCTGATCACGTCTGCTCCTTCCCCAGCCTCCTCCAGGAAGTCCGACAGCAGCTCAACTCTGACCATCGGGGCAAAATGGAGACACTGGAGATCGACAGAGGCTGCCTCTCTCTCAACGTCAACTCTCCAAACATCTCTCTGAAGGTCAATCCTACACGCGTCCCCAATGGGTAAGAAGAATGTTTCAGTCAGTCTCTCCTCTTCCCTCTTCTCCTTCCACCGCTCACTCACAGGCCATACCTTTGTGACCCCATTATTCCTTGCCACTTGCAGCTCCTCCACACTCCAGCAGTGGGATGATTTCAGTCAGTTCAACAAGAATCGGGCAGAGGCTGAGATGAAAGTAGCCACAGAGCTGAGGGAGGCCATCGCCCTAACTATTGCTGAGGTGACTGACCATTATCCACCCCAGCTCTTTCATGGCTAATAGGGCGGCAGGATGGCCGTGTGCACTCAAGCCCTTCTTTGTTCCCTGTTGGCCATCTGGCACTGCTTCCCCTCACTTGAACAATATCCTCAGATGACCATGAGCTTATACTCTCCTCTTGCCCTGTCTACTTCCTGTCCTTCAGACCAATAACGAACTCGAAGCCCAGAGGGTTGCAACAGAATTTGCCTTCAGGAAGCAACTCTGGGAGAAGGAGAAAGTGTACAGCGAGCTCAGGTGGCAAGAGAAGAATGTGAGCCTTTGTTTAATCTCCTGGGGTCTGGAGTTCCTTCAGTGGGATGAGGCGCCTAATACATTGCCAAGAAGCCCTGGACTCGGTGCACCATGATGGGTTCAGCTGATGGAGACCAGTCACTCTGTCCCCTGCAGACCTTAGAGGAGATTGCCGAGCTGCAGAAGGACATCCGGCACCTGGAAGAGGATCTGCAGAGAAAGTTTCTGAGCTTGAAGCTATCACATACCCGGCTAGAGTCCAGAACTTACCGGCCCAATGTGGAACTCTGCCGGGATCAGGTGAGAGGGTATTCCAGCGGGCACTGGCCTCCTTGCTATACCTTTCTCAGGATCACCCTCCACTACATATTCTTGGTGGAGTAAGGGTGCTGGGATGGTAGCAGCCAGGCCTATAGTGGACCTTAAACTCCCAACCTGCCCCTCTGCCTCCAGGCACAGTACGGCCTCACCGACGAGGTTCACCAGTTAGAGGCAACAATCACTGCCCTGAAGCAGAAGATGGCACAAGCACAGTAGGTTTGAGGAGTGGGCAGGAGGGGCAGGGAGACACCTCCACCCATGGCCTGCTGGTTTCCTTGGGTTTTATCTTCCTGACCTGAAGGCTGGTGGGTCCAGCCCAGACCTCCCAGCCTCATGCAGGTTATTAATGCTTCCTCCCCAGGGATGCTCTAGACGCCCTATACAAGCACCTGGCCCGGCTGCAGGCTGACATTGCCTGCAAAGCCAACTTCATGCTGTTGGACACCAAGTGCATGGACACCCGTCGGAAGCTGACAGTGCCTGCTGAGAAGTTTGTGCCTGAGGTGGACACCTTCACCCGCACCACAAACCGCACCCTGAGTCCACTCAAAAGCCGCCAGCTGGAGCTAGCCTAACCTTGAGGGGCTAGTGGGAGAGGGAGGTTGGGTGGGAAATGGAAGAGAGAGGGAGAAAGACTGAAACTAATAAATGCCAGCGTGTTATGCCAGACTGTTCTCTGCTACCCCAGCATGCAGTCAGCAGGGAGTGAGAGGGTGCCTGGCCCCCTGTGTATGGAGGAGCAAAGATAGGGAACATCACTCCCCAAGCCCCATTTTCCAAATCCAGCTCCTACCCCTGCTCTTAGGGAACCCCCTTTCTGGGCTAGGTCAGAAACCCATGGGTCCTAGCAAAACTGCTCTCCCCAGCTCTGCCCCAACTGGCCAAAGCTGGACCTTTCCCTGCCCTTTTGATGCCTAAGGTAAGCCCAGTGGGGGCTAGGGTCGCTGAGGGAGGGCTTGGGTGGGGGGTAGGAAGGCCTGAGTAGGGGCCGAGGGCTGGGGCTGCCATGGGACTGAGTGGGGCGAGGGAGTCAGGAGTGCTCCGGGAACACAACGAGGCTTCGGAAAATCAGGCCGCCATGCCCACCCCTTTAGTGGCCGTCCCGGCCCACTGTGACGCCGTTTACACGCAGCAAGGATGGGGACCAAAAGCCGCGGCCTGACCAAAAAGACACCTCGCAACTGGGGCTGAGGAGGCTGACTGCGGATCCAATCTTGGTCACACACACGCGGGGGCTGCACGGCGCCGCGACTCCGGACCGCTGGGTGGCGCTGTGGGCCAGGGAGGGGCGCTGAGGCTCCAGGCCACGGGGGGGCGCTGTGGGGCGCGGGGCGGGGGGTGGAGGCGCTGTGGGGAGCGCGCCAAAAGCACCGGAAGTGCTGTGTGGCCCGCGTGAATGGCGGCGGCCGCGGCGGCTGTGGCGATGACGGCGGCGGGCTGCGGAGGGGCTGGGGCAGCCCGCTCCCTTTCCCGCTTCCGAGGCTGCCTGGCTGGCGCGCTGCTTGGGGACTGCGTGGGCGCCATCTACGAGGCTCAGGACCCCGTGAGCCTGACGTCAGTTTTGCGTCACGTGCAGAACCTGGACCCGGACCCGGGCTCTCCGGGCAGCGCGCGGACAGGTGGGCGGGCTGGGCGCAAAGGGGGAGCGCACCGCCCGCGGGGAGCGGAGGGGCTGCCGGGCGCTGCGAGCCGGGCCCCAGAGGGACAGAGGGGCCGGGGGGAGGCCGAGAAGCCCTCTTGGGGAGGGAAGCGGAACCGGGGCCGGGCGAACCCAGGAGGGAGAGAGGCTCCCGGGTGCGAATGAGATGAGGCTGGCGAGGGTAGCACGGGCCAAATCTGGATGACCCGCAGGCACCTCGGACTCAACGTGTCCGTATCCGAGCTTTATCTTTACACATCTCACCCAGAAGTCTCCCGAACATTCCCCATATCGGGGAATGGCAACACCATCTTCTCATTTGTGCAAGCCAGAAACCTGGGCGTCATCCCCGTAAATTGGGTCTGGTGCAACATACACACTTCCTGCCGATTTTACCTCATTTCTCTACAATCATTACACCACCAGTCCGTTCTCCAAATGATAGAGAATGCTCCTTACGAAACAAATCTGATCGTTGTATCGGCATAAAACTGCAGTGATTTCCCATTATCCATGAGACGCAGCCAAATTATTTAACAGGCCCTCTTCTGAGTCTCCAGCTTAATGTTATACTACCCTTGGCCTTGCTTTCTGCCCTTCATTTCCTTGTCACACCATGCTTCCTCTAGCCCCTGTCCTTTGCTTGTGCTGTCCCTCTGCCTATCCAGCTATCTCCCTTATCCTTCCACTTTGTATAGTCAACTCATCACCCCACTGTGAGCTCAGGTATCATGTGTGAGGTAAAAGAGGATGTGATTCTAATTGGAGAACATGTGGGATGGTAAGATAAAGGGGCCATAGTCAGAACCCTGGAGAATACTGATAACTAAGAGGGAGGTAGAGGAGGAGGAATAGGAGCTAAGGAAAGAAACAATTTGAGAGAGGAGAAGAATCAAGAGGGGGGGGTATCAAGGTCAGAGAAAATAATTTCAAGATGAAGACAGTGGTCACTGGTGGCATGCTACAAAGAAATGAAATAGGGGGAAGTCTAGATTTAGAAAAAGCATTTTCAGATTTTAGTGGGTTAAGAAGGAAATGGAAAATCAGAAAATAGTATAGTGTGGTATGAAGGAAAGGAGAGAGATGAGCTGTAGTTGAGGTGATGATAGGATGGAGGGATAGTTTTTAATTTGATTTTAGATTTGATGCTAAGATGAGGAAAACAGCATGTTTTAGGTTAGGAGGTGTTTTAGGACCCTTTGGATGAAAGTGACAGAAAACCCAACTCATAATGGCCTAGGCAAAAAAGGGAACCTATGGACTGACGTAAGAGAGATAGGTCTAGTTTCAAAACCAGTTGCCATTGCATTGACTCTGACTCATGGCAACCCCATGTATGTCAGAGTAGAACTATGCTCCATAGGGTTTTCAGTGGCTGATTTTTCAGAAGTAGATTTCCAGGCCTTTCTTCCAAGGTGCCTCTGGGTGGACTGGAACTTCCAACGTTTCAGTTTGCCAAGTGCATTAACTGTTTGTAGCACCCAGGGACTTCAGGTCTAGCTTCAACCAGAGCTGACTCCAGGGGCTCAAACCATGTACCCAAGACTCAGTTCCTCTCCATTGCTCAGATCTGTCTGGGTTGGCTTCACTCACTTTCCAGTGGACACTTCTCATGGCATGGCCCCCAGCAGCTCCCGCCTCAGCAACACCAGCAGAGGAAGAGTTTCTCTTTGCAGTAGTCCCAACAAAAATCCCAAGTTGGGTCTCACTGGCCTGGCTTAAGTCATATGTCCATTCAGGAACTAGGGAATGGGTATGCTATTTGGCCAGGCTGAAGGTGGGGATCAGCCCGACTGAGAGTGGTAGAGAATTGGTTCACTGCCGAAAATCAGAGTGCAGTGGCCAAATGAAGGGGGACTGGGTGCTACTCCACCACAGAGGGAAAGGTTGAGGATACAGGAGAGAGGGGGCAGAAGAGGAAGGAGCAAGGTCCCGGGGAAATGGGCAGGGGCGGGCTTCACCTTGGACTGAAAGGGAGACTGGAGAGTGCAGCTGTGGCTAACATACCTGGTAGCCTCTCTTCGTAGGGAAGTAGGAGGTGGAGGCCACCTAAGAGTGGGGCGGGGGGTGAAGTTAGGGGCTTGAGATACATGGAGAGATGGCAGTATGGGGGATGTGGGGAATGGGAAAGGGGGCTCATTGGGGAATCTGCTTCATTCTTTGTAACCATCTCTTCAAAGAAGACCAAGTCCCTGTCCCTAGAAGGCTTATAGACCATTTGGAGAAGTCACAAAATAACCAGTGGGGCTGGCCGTATTAGGAGTGCCAGGTCAATGTTCACAAGCACGCAGGAAAGAGATGGGGTAGGATGGCGGGGTAGAGCAGCACCAGCTGGGAAGGACTTGACAAAAGCTCCAAGACTGGTTCTTGGAATAGGGTAGCAGTGGAATGGAAGAAGGAAGGGGCTGGACTGGGTTGGGCTTCAAATGTCAAAGCAGTGAGTTTGGACCTCGTCCTAAAGGCGGCAGCCAGCTATTTTGAGCAGGAGAGTGAGATGAATAGTGATATTCTACTCTCAGGAAGAGTTTTATGGCTGAATGTGAAGTTGGGTTGGAGGGCGAGGAATGTGCAGGGGAGTTGAGAGGCTCTTGCCATAGCCCAAGCAGGTTGTATTAAGGCTGGAGCTGCAGTGATGGCAGCCAGAGGGGATGAGAGGTTTTCCTTTGAAAACCAGCAGGACATGGAGGCTGATTCAGAATAAGGAACAGCTGAAAACTCGAAGGCCTAGAGCCCCAGAAACGAAGGAAGTGAGAGGCTGACTTAAAGTCATTTTAGATGTGGTAACTTTAAAAGGAATGAGCAGGAGGCCCAAGCCTTCACCCCAAAGCCCTGCAGCTCGCTCTCACACCCCCTCTGCCTTCTCCCCACAGAAGCATTGTACTACACAGATGACACAGCCATGTCCCGGGCCCTGGTGCAGTCCCTGCTGGCCAAGGAGGCCTTCGACGAGGTGGATATGGCTCACAGGTGAGGGCAGGTGACCTTGGGGTAAGACAGGCAGGCAGAGTCGTTGCTCCCCTTGACCAGAGCACTGATGTCCATGCACGTGTGGGATCCCCACCCTCAGCACGACACTTTATAAAGCTGATGCTTCCCAAGCCAGGCATGCCAGCACTGTGTACAGGGTCCTCAGCACCCCAAGGCTCCCTCTGTTCCCAAACCAGCCTGATCTTTCTTCCAACCCTGAGAGAGATGTAGTAAACTCCAACTGGAATTTCCCTTTTCTCCCCCAGGTTTGCTCAGGAGTACAAGAAGGACCCTGACAGGGGTTATGGAGCTGGAGTAGTCACTGTCTTCAAGAAGCTCCTAAGTCCCAAGTGCCATGATGTCTATGAGCCTGCCCGGGCCCAGTTTAATGGGAAAGGCTCCTACGGCAACGGGGGTGCCATGCGGGTAGCTGGCATATCCCTGGCCTATAGTAGTGTCCAAGACGTGCAGAAGGTATTCAGGGCTGGACTTGCCCCTCGCTCCCTCCCTCTCTCTCCCTCTCTCCCTCTCTCCC